CCCCACCCGCACCACATTTCCCCACAGAATACTTTGAATTTTGTATCTTCATTTGCCATTACATACATTATATACATGATAGGCAGGGTCAGGCAGACCTCCATGAGTTTGAGCCTCTCCTGATCTACAGTGAGTTCCAAGCCAGTTGGGTATATATAATGAGACTGTCTCAAATCAAACTAAACCACAAAAAGCAAGAGAAGAATCTTAGGCATCCTGGGTGTGAGCATCCCCAAAAGGACCAACTAAAGGCAGACACACTGTAGAACTCCACAGGATGCAAGGTTCCACTCAGGCTACATGGAGTACTTCCATCCTGAGACCACCAGATCTGCAGGGGCAGGGCATCTTTTCTTGTAAGAGTTCAGTATATTGAGATGGCTCAACAGGTAACAGTACTCACTACCAGCCCTGGCAACCTGAGTTCAATCCCCACAAACCCACATGGTAGAAGAAAACCAATTCCCAAAAGTTGTCCTCTGACCTCTACACAAGTGCTATGGCACATTAAGACCACCACTACACATATACACACATATGTACAGACACACATACTTTAACGCGCAGTACGTTAAAATAATAATCTACACTGAGTCCAAAGATGAGCATCTACAGTTCCAACACTAAGGAGGCAGAAGCATGAGAGATGCCACAGTCTCAGGCTAGGAATGATCATATAGTGAGACTCTGTCTTCAACAAGTTTTAACCTAGAAAAGCTGTCAGGGTAGAAATCTACTATCCTCTTTGGATTATTCTAGAGGAAGGATACAGGGAATAAAGATTGAAAGCAAAAACAGCAGAGTAGGTAGTGCACGCCTGTGATCTGAGCACTCAGGAGGTGGGGCATGAGGAGGCCAGACAAAGACAGCATGAACTACAGATTCAGACACTGCATCAAAACAAACAAACAAACAAACAAATGGAAGATCAGAGGCAGCAAAGACAGCAGGAGACTCAGCCATTAGAGAGAATTTGGTGTTCAAGAACAAGAAGCTGAAATTCTAGTTGAACCCAACACAGGGCCTGTGTAAAGTAGGTAGCAATGGAGTTGTTGAATATTGAGAAACAGAGGGAGACAAATGAGCAGATATGCAAACTGAACCTCATTTACCACTGACTTCAAATAACCAGAATCAGATGACTACAAAGAAATCTCAGGCTACCTAAGCCTAGCTGGTGAGCCCCAAGCTGCCCCTGCACTCACTGGTTTTGAGCTGGAATCCATTTTGTGTCACACACGCCGCACAAGTACTCTACTGCTGAGCTTTCCACGCACAGGCTCTCACCACACAGTTCCAAGGTGGGCCTCAGTGTCACAGTCCTCCTGCCTCAGCCTCCTGAGCGCTGACTAGAAAGTCAGCGCTCAGGAGTGTGCACCATATGCTCAGCAGCCCTCATCCTTAAAAAAACCTTTATCTGATCCCCCAAGGGAGTCTAGGGAACCAGGGGCAGATTATAAATGAGCCCCAGGCTTTTAAAATTAAATAAAAAAACTTATATGACCTTAAAAAAAAAAATGAACCCCAGAAGGGCGCACACATGACCATTGTCCTGGTTTTGTAGGAGAGTCACAGGCTGTTTTCAACACATCTGACAGAAGGCAGGGATCAGCCCTCTCAAAAGCTGTCAAAATTCCTTGCCTCAGGACCAGGGAGACAGCTCAATAGATAAAAGTGGTTTCCTCAGAACTCACACTGGAAAAAGAGAGGCAACTTGGCTGTCCTGGAACTCACAGTGATCCACCTGCCTCTTGCACTACACCCAGCCCTCAATTGTAGTTTTTAATAAACCCTTTACTTTTTTAATGAGGAGAAAACTTACTTCAAAATGATCGACTAGTAAGATGGCTCCGCAGGCAATAAATATCATTTGCCACACAAGACTGATGACCTGAGTTTAATCCCCAGAGCCCACGGGGGGGGGG